ATCTTTTTCTTCAAGTGTTAGTCACTAAAATCGGGGAACTTTGTTGTTGCTATGGCCATTTTCATGAAGATTGATCTACATTTTGCTGGAATTTTTACCAGGTATCCCTCTATTACTTACATAGATGGAGCAGAGCAATGATTTGATGATGTTGATTTTGCTGTAATGGACAAGAAGGAATTTGTCGAGTTCCTTGAAAGATTCGTATGTGAGATATGTGTAAATGTGTACTTTTGCATGCCCGATATTGTTTTTCCTAATGGTTTAAGGTTAATCACGAATGACATGGATTACATGGAACTAATCGAAGTAAGGTAAGCTTCTGATTGTGTAATCGATGTATATATGGACCATCTTGGTGTTAATGTACATCAATGGATTCTTGAAGAGCAAGCAGAAGTTGGCAGTTCTTTGGACCAATTATCTGGTGCAAATGAAGATCGTGAAGAAGTTCACAGTCGTATGAATATGGATGATGGTATCGACATGAAAGATTTACATGGTGGTATGGATGATATCCCACATCCAAACGAGGATTTGCAAGGAGAGCAAGATGATGACATTCACATGGAAGGGGACAATGATCATGATGAGTGCATTCTTATGAACAAGACAAAGGAGGATGGATTTCTGAGTAAGTTGTGCCCAAAGGAGCAAGTCACCCCAGACAGTCCACCTCGTGAAGATACATATGATCCACCAGATGAAGTTGAGGTAATTTCTACTAACCAGGCTATTTACAATGAGAATGTTCATTGGAAAAAGCAAAAACCTATATTAGGTATGAGATTTATGAGTCCTAAACAACTGAAACATATGATGTGTAACTATGCTGTAGCAAATGGTTATCAGTTGTGTTACAAAAAAAATGATAGTAGGAGGCTGTTAGTGAAATGTTGTTTTGGGCAGTGCAAGTTTAGGATGTGGGCTTCTTGGATGAGTGAGGAAAAGTCTTTCCAGATAAAGAGTCTTATAAATAAGCATAATTGTGCAAGAAACTTCAAGTTAGGTTCAATTGTCAATTATTCATGGATAGGTACCCATTACACAACACAATTCTTACAGAAACAAAAGGTTAGTGTGAGGCTACTTAGGGATGAGGTTAAAGAGAAATTTGGTATAGATGTGAGTATGGGATAGTGTAGAAGAGCAAAGAATTATGCAATTGAACTGATTGAAGGAAAATTAGTGGAGCATTATCCAAAGTTGTGGTCATATGGTGAGGAGATTAAAAGATCAAATCCAGGATCAACAGTTAACATTGATGTCAATTCTATGCCAGATGGTAAGAATTTTTTAGCAAACTTTATTTGTGTTTTGATGGGCTTAAGCAAGGGTGGAGAGGGAGTTGTAGAAGGATTATAAATTTAGATGGATGTGTCTTAAAGGGCTTATGTAGTGTTGAGCTCATATCTGCTGTAGGAAGAGATGCCAATAATCACATATGGGCAGTTGTCTGTGTTGAGAACAAAGAAAATTGGAAATGGTTTCTGGAAAACCTTAGAGATGACTGCAACTGAATGATGGTTTTGGTATAACATTAATGTCAGATCAGCATAAGGTTAGTAGTTTGACTTCCCAATTTAATGAATTCTAGTTTCATACCCTTTATATAATTTGTTACCATTGTTGCACATGGGCTGTTAGAGGCTGTGAAGGAAATACTGCCTATTGCTGAACATAGGTAGTGTGCAAGGCATATTGTTGCCAACTTTAGGAAAAGATTTAGTGGTGTGCATTATGAAAACATGTTTTGGAAGGCAAGCAAGGCATCCACTGAGCCTTTATTCAATGCTGCCATGAAGGAGCTTAAAGTGCTTAACCCTGCAGCCTTTGCTTATCTTATGGACACCAACCCCAAATCTTGGACTAGAGCATTTTTTTCAAGAGGGAAAGATGTGTGATGTAGTGGAGAATGGGTTATCTGAGAGCTTCAACAATGTGATAAGAGAGGCTAGGAAAAAGCCAATCATCACCATGTTAGAGGAGATTAGATTGTATGTTATGGAGAGAATATACAATTTAAAGATTAAAGGTAGTTCATGGCTTGATTACAAGCCTTGCCCAACAATTACACTCCTTCGAAATCAATTAAAAAAAGCACAAAGGTACTTTCTAAACTCTAAACTCATAAATTAATATAATTACTTATGTTATGTCTACACTAGGTATTGGCAGGTTTTACCAAGTGGTCTTAACCAATTTGAAACAAGAAACATGGCTGAGTCCTATGCTGTTGACCTGGACAAGAAGACTTGCACTTGTAGAGTGTGGCAACTTAATGGGTATGGATGTGTGCATTCAGTTGCAACTATATCATTCCTCAATAGAGATGTTGGTGGTTATGTTGATACAATGTTCTATGGACCAGTCTACAAGAACACCTATAAGTATCTAATTCAGGGGGATGAATGGTAGCAACATGTGGCCACCTACTGACTTCATACCACCTCTTCCACCAATAAAGAGAAGAATGCCAGGTAGACTAAAGGTTAACAGAAGAAGAGATGCATCAGAGAAGCTACCAAGGCACACTGTGTCTAAGGCAGGGAAAAAAATATCATGCGGTGTTTGTAAAAATGTGGGGCATAACAAGGTCACATGTCCTCAAGCTGAAAGACCTTAAGTGCAAAAACCTAAAGTTGGCAGGAGGCCCAAACTAAATGTTAAAAAAATGAAAACAGGTGTCAATGGAAAAGGTGAAGCAACAGGATGGGTCAATGAAAAAGGTGAAGGAGCAGGAGGTGTCAATGAAGGGTAAAATGGTCAAGAAGCAAAATCAGTGCACGAAGGGCAAAAGGGTCAATGAGCAACAGTTGTTGCTGCTGGAAGGATATCTAAAAGAAAGAAATCAGAGAGAATCATAAAGATGAAACTTGCTAAGAGGGTGAAGGGCAAAGATGGGAAAGGAGAAACAAGTGCAAACCCATTGGAGCTTAATGATTAGGATCTTATTTTGTTTTAGTTGTTATCTTTTAACTTGGTTGTGTTTGGTTGGATTTAAGTGTTATGTTTGGTATTGGGATGTAGTAGGTTATTAAGTTTGGAATTGGAAAAGTTGTTATGTTTTAAATTTGTTATGTTTGGTTGGATTTAAGTGTTAACTTTGTTTAATTTGATTGTTCATATTTCGTACATACAAAACACATCAAACCCCAAATATAACCACTTCAATTAAATAAAGTACATTACAGATTACATAACAACTTAAAGGAAATAAAGTGCATTACAAGTTTCAAAAGACATCAAAGTGCATTATAAGATGCATAACAAGACAACTGGTCCAACTGACCTTCATTACAACTTGTACATGATTAAACAGAAAAAAATACCCAACTACATACTAGGTAAACCTTCAACTTAAAGACCTCAGCCTGAAGCTTTTTGTTGGACTTATACAATCCATTTATGATCAAACCTTCATTGTTGCACTCCATTTCATCAAACCAAGCTATAAAACCTGAATGAGCATCCTGATTCCAAGTATTTGCTTCAATTAACACATCTTAAAAAGTAGGGTTAACACCAAAATTTGAATAACTCGTAAATTACCTTTTCGGGCATGCATAAAAGGGCCTTCCTGGGTTATTGGTAGTACGAGCTCCACATCCACATTCCATGTTCTTCATTATGTACCTTCATAGTGAAGAGTATTTGAAGAAGAAAACAATGTGCTAGAATGAATGCAAGAAGGTATATATGAAGGAGCAATGCATAAAAAAGACTATATTACCCCCACTATTGCACTTTCAATGGATCCGATTATCAAACTTAAGAACTAATTCAGATAAAAAACAATCGGCAAAGAACATCAGACATCTTTACAAAACGCCTATCATTTTGATAGGGCTTTCATTAATCATTCGATTTCACTTGCAAAATGCCTCTCATTAAGACATGACTTTTACATAGGGATATTTCGCCAAAATAAACAGAAATAAAAGAAAAAAAAATTAAGACACACGAACACTACATACTAATAACCTTCTTAACCATTAACCACCTTAGCTGCAGATCAACCCATCACCAAAGCTTAACAAGGAAATGGAGCACAACAACCAGCAACAAGAGCATCCCCAACATCATGCCATCCAGAGCAACACCAACGACTTTAAACTTCTGATCATGATCATCCAGCTTGTGCTGGAGACTGATGTGGTCGATCCTGCAAACGATATAATCTTGTCCTAGCTGCTCCTTCAACCTTTTCATTTCAGTTTGGTTTTCTGTAATCTTTGGACCGCAATCACAGAAGATTGAGTGGAGCACATTGTAGTTGATGTCTTCACCATAATTTATAGAGTTGGGTGAAGGTGGTGGAGCCGACATTGTTGCTTTTTAAGGGTTCTTCCACAAGATTGTTTGCCCGAAAATGGTAAACAAGTTTCAGATTTGTTTTACTTCAAACCCCACATGCGTATGTCCCTTTATAATTCGAGACTTATGCCTGGGACTCAATCGAATCGACAGTGAAAGGTTGTTGGGGTATTGGTGGACATTAAAGGCGATAATTACTAATCTGAATGTGCCAACTTATGTGTCATCGAGTCAACTCAGTATTGACTCAGTGAGTTACCGCATACGTATACATGGCAAGTGACGAGGCAGGTTTACCTGCTAAAATGGGTAATGTGACTTTCTCAATCGGTCATCAACAAGTTTAAGCCCTTAAAACGCAAAAAATAGTCACGAGGGACCATTTAAACCATTATACGTAACTTTGTTGAACTAAAGTGACAATAACCCTTGTTGATATTCATATTATGTTTTTGTGATTTTCTCTAGAACTTTGATGAGTTGGATTTCATATTTGGTGACAAAGTTCAATAACAAATTCATATACTAAACTAGTAAACTTTTTGATGTCAATTTTAAAAACATAATTTATAGAATAAAAAACAACCGAAAAATGCATGTAATTTACCATTTGAAATATACTATGCAGTCTACCGAATTATATATGGCTATACAATTTCATGTAAAAATCGCATAAAATAATATTGAACTAGATTTGGTTTTATTATTTAATTATTCAAATCCAAGATTTAAAAGCTCATCATCTCCTGTCATCTCTCTCTAGGCTCCTCCAAATATTCTTACACCAGAGGATTGCCCAAAACACACTGTCTCTCTTTCTCTTTCTCTCTCTCTCTCCTCTTTCTATTAATTTATACTATTCCCATCAATCCCAGCTACAAATTCCATTTCTTTTCATTTATATACACAAAGGAGTGGAGGAATAACCAAGAAATATGTAAAGTTTTTTTTAGTTAAAATATAATAACAATACCTTGCCTTTGGGGAAGAAACCCACATCCTCCGTTCTCAATTATATGCATATTCATTCTTAGATCTTACCCACCTTCAAATCAGACCTCCATTAATGGTAAGTGTATACAGAAACCAATTTTCTTGTGTAGATTTCCCTAATTTTGTTTTGTATTGATCGATTTCTGTGATCTATTTGAATTGTGGGTTTTTATGAATCTGAAATCTACTTGAGATTGATGTTTGAGGGATCCGATTTTCTTGATTTTAGTTCGTGAATACTCGGACTGTTTTCCGATCACTCTTTGGTAGCCGATTCTGCCTAATTTTGTCCGGATAAGGTAAGCATTTACTTGTTTTAATCCTTTCTTATCTACATTTTGATCTGTTGAAACTGGAAATATGCATAATTGTGTTGTTCTATCTGCTTCTTCACTAAATTTTTGTTGGACTCATGAAATCTGTAGCGTTTGGATTGATTTGCATCGATGTAATAGGGTAAAGTTTCGATTTTTAATCAGAATTATGATACCTTTCATTCTGTCGTTGTTGTAGTTGAATTGGGTTAGCAACTCAGCACCCCGATTAGTTTTTAGTTGAGGGTTATATCCAATTTCATGGCAATTCAACATGGGGTTATAGTAAAGATGGAATCGGATTTCGGTAAACTATTCATTGGTGGGATTTCATGGGACACCGATGAGGCTCGATTGAAAGAGTATTTTAGTGGTTATGGTGAAGTTATCGAAGCCGTGATCATGAGAGATCGTATCACTGGTCGTGCTCGTGGATTCGGTTTCATCGTCTTCGCTGATCCCGCTGTTGCAGAGAGAGTCGTGATGGAGAAACATATGATTGATGGTCGAACCGTAAGTTAATTCAAAAATTCTCTAACCCTAATTAATAACAATCAACAATGCGATTTAGATTCTTAATTTCATTTTTAAAAAAAAAATCACACAGGTCGAAGCCAAAAAAGCCGTTCCTAGAGAAGACCACCATGGATTGAACTTGAACAGAAACAACAACAACAGCATTCAAGGATCACCAGGTCCGGGAGGTCGTACGAAGAAGATATTCGTAGGAGGATTAGCGTCAACAGTCACCGAGAGTGATTTCAAGAAATACTTCGATCAATTTGGTACGATTACAGATGTGGTGGTGATGTATGATCACAACACTCAAAGGCCAAGAGGTTTTGGTTTCATCACATTTGATTCAGAGGAATCAGTGGATCGTGTTTTGCATAAAACCTTCCACGAACTCAATGGCAAAATGGTTGAAGTCAAACGGGCAGTTCCAAAAGAGTTATCCCCGGGCCCCAGTCGAAGCCCGTTGGTTGGAGTTGGATTCAACTACGGGTTGACCCGACCCAACACGTTCCTCACCAGCACCTACCCGCAAGGTTACAACATGAGTTCAATTTATGGAGGTCGAACGGATAGCCGGTTCAGCCCGATTGCGCAATCGGGCCGAAACGGGTTTTCACCGTTTGGGTCGTCCGGCTACGGGATGGGTATGAACCTGGACCCAGGTTTGAGCCCGAATGCATTTGGAACGACCTCTAACAACATGGGTTACGGGCGGGTTTTGAGCCCGTACTCGAATCGGTTCGTTACCCCGATCGGTTACAACCAAAGTAATGTTAATGTTAGAAACGAGTCGTTTATCGGGTCAACAACTCGAAATGTTTGGGGAAATGGTGGTGGGCTGACGAGCCCGGGTGGGTCCGGTCCGTATTTGGGTTCGGGAACCAACGGTGGGTTTGGAGTATTTGGAAACGGGTCGAACTGGGGTTCGAACCCGATATCTACTCAAGGTGGTGGAGTGAGCTCGTCTGGCTACAATGGTGGAAGTATAGGCGAAAACAACTATGGAATTGGAGGTGGAGGTGGTGGTGGACTTGGAAGAAACAATGGGGTAACCCATGAAGGGTCTTATGGTAATTTATACCGTCGGGGTTCAATGTATGGTGAAACCACTTGGCAGCAGCAGCCTTCTAATGAGCTGGAGGGTTCGGGTCCTGGTCCGGGTTCATTTGGTTATGGGCTTGATAATTCGGAAGATGTCACAGGCAGAAGTTCTGAGGGCTATGTTGGTAATTATAGCATTGCAAATAGACAAACTAATAGGGGTATGTGTTATGTGTATGTCTAATTATATAAATAAGAAAATCACAAAATTGACCAAAATGGGTAGGAGTTATTTAACAAAATAGTAACATCCTTTTGGGGCTTATCACAAAATGACCACCTATTTCACAATGAGCCTCCTTAGAAATTGAAACAATGTTTTTTTTTTTTTTATGGTCTACACTCTACACCACAAAAAAAAAAAAAAGATATATTGCGAAATACTACATGATTTTCCTTCGAAGGTTTTTATGGTCAAAAAACAATTTCACAATTTGCAAAATGGTGGTCATTTTGTTGAAAATGCATCCCACCCATTACCCATATTGGTCATTTTTGTAATTATCTCTAGATTGCATATATTGGTTTTGCTTTACATGTAGATATGTTGGTTTTAACTCTGATTTTGGTGAATGATTACATTACAGGGATTGCTGCATAGAAGTTTTTCAAGATTTGCATACAAGAAAGAAGGTAACTTTTAGGAGGAAGTGTTATTTGGTAGAAAACCCAAACCCTCTTTAGTATACAACACGAGGCAGGTTTTAAGGCTATTTGGTTTTGTGGATTCTTCAGAAAAAAGATATAAACTACAAGATTTGATGGCTTTTAAAAAGGGGATTGGATTTGGTGACAAATTATGAATTTTGAATTTTGAATTGACGTTTAGGTTTCCAGTTCAGCATGTGTTCTTGGACAACCCCAACCCAACCCAACCCCCCCCAGTAAGTTCCACTTTTGATGTGTTGTTGTGCATCTTTTCAACATGATGAGAGTGGTTAGATTTAGATCAAAATAATTTGTGTTTCTTTCTTTCATTTCGGATTTTATTTCTTCTTATTGTTGAGTTGTTGTAATGTCTGGTAAATTTGCCAGTACTTGATGATGTTGCTTTTCTTTCCTGAGAATGTACTTTTCAGCTTTCTGTTTGATTTACAAATTAAGTGTGAATGATTTAGAGAGATGTAATCCTTAACCTTTTAGGATTCTTATTAATTAATAAGTTGAATGAATGTTCGTTTTTTTATGTTTTTTTGTTCTTTCATCATCATGGTTTGTATGTTTATATATGTTTTTGAACGAGGTTTAAATGATCTCGTGACGTAATCATTTTCATCAGCCTTCTGTTCTTTAGGCCATTTACTCTGTCTAATCATTTAACTTGTTTATTTTAGTTTATGTCTTTTGGGCTTCTTAAATATCTCTCTATGGCTTTGTCATTATGTTATTTTTAGATCAACATGACAAAAGTAGAAACATAAACCCTACATTACCAATGGATGAAAACAGTACGGAAATATGTTCCAAATTTCAACAATGCGGTGTAAAGGTGATGTTCTTCTTGTTCTATCAAGGAAGATCTATCTCTGAACTAAAATCTTTTTTCAGAACCGAATGAAATAAGTTAACATAATAACTGACGACAAACAAACTATGTTATTAATAGGGGTGTTCATGGTTTAGTTTGAAACCGTGAAACCGTTCAAACCGGGTATCGGTTTGGTTTCGCGGTTTGTATTTTTCTTTATGGTTTGACTTGCGGCTTCATATTTTCGAAACCGTAATGAATGGTTCGGTTTATGGTTTGAAATTTTTTAAACCGTATAAAACCGGATCGGATCGTAGTGTGTGCCGACCGTAGTGTGTGTGTGTGTATATATATATATATATATATATATATATATATATATATATATATATATATATATATATATATATATATACAAAACTTCAAAAATGGTCCCTGTGGTTTTTGAAAATATCAAGTTTAGTCCTTAAGTTCAAAAACCTCACAGATGATCCCCGTGGTTTCAAAACTTTTAACAAATGGTCCTTTTCGTTAACACCGTTAACATTTGATCGTTAAGTGAAGGGCATATCAGTCATTTCACAAAACAGGGACCATTTATGAAGTTTTTTTGTTATTTAAAAAGACAAAATATAATTATTTAATGTATAAAGGTTTCTCTCTTCCCCTCTTTCTCTCTCTCTCTCTCTCTCTCTCTCTCCCCTCTCTCTCTCTCTCTCTCTCTCTCTCTCTCTCTCTTAGTTCGTCTCCTCCCCTTTCTCTCTTCTTCCCCATTCTTCTTCCTCCAGAAAAAAATCCCCCACTTCCTTATTGTCTGCAAGCAAACAACTACAACGTTGATGTCTCTCTCAAAACAACCTTCAACAAATTCTCTTTCTCTACATACGCTTCCTTTGCTGCATTTTCTGATTTTCTTGCTTGTGTCTGAGGATGTCTTAGAGCTTCCAATAATATTCCTTTGTTTGATTCACTCACACGAGTTGTTTTTGCAGACCTTTCGTTGAAGAATACATAGCTTTATAGTTTGCTGAAGAACCAAATGATGGCGATTTTGGGGTTAATGACTCCATTTGATTCATGTAAGACTTGATCTGATAACCATGAACAATAGCTGGTTGATCATTGAACCCAACAGAAGCTTGAGAGATTCGAAGACCATTAGAAGATGATTCAAGGCAAAGTCTATGGAATCACTTTTCACCAGGGTCCATCACATTGAGGTTTGATTGATGTGCATACGATTCTAGTATTTGCTTTTGATTCGATAACAATGAAGGCGAGCTTCCGGCCCAGTGAAACCCGTAAATCGAGTCGGTGGTCGTTTGCACACTCTGATATGTTGTTGCCTTCGAATTCATGTTCACCTTTGAATTTATTCCGAGTAATTTGTCAAGTTTTCTTGTTTTTGCTTCCTGTGTTGGTTCACCATGGTAATAAGATAGCAGATGAATGTTCATCTTTTCTGGATTGACCATCTTTTCTGGATTTGATTTTGGAAGAAGATGATTCTCGTTACAATCATGTGAATTTGATCATTTTGAAACAACTGAACCCAAATCATCTTTTCCGACGATCTGCCACCATGGAATTGATACCTCACCGTTTTTCTCGAATCTCGACCTAGCGTTGTTGCTAGCTGGTTTTGTTGGGAAAAAGGAATATGTCATTCTAATCCTGTAGAAGTGTTATTAACTGGGGTGAGGTAGGCTACTCTTGTCGGCTTCACAGATTCGACGGAGGAGGGTGGAGGAGGTTGGGAAAGGTGAGGCAACTCCGATGGTCGGCAGCCTCTTCTTGGTCGATGGTGAAGGATAACGGGAAGGGAAGAGAGAAATAGAGAGAGAGAGAGAGAGAGGGCCCTTTAATATTAAATAATTATATATATTTTTTTCTTTTTTAAGGCAAAACTTCATAAATGGTCCCTATGGTGGTGAAATGACTGATATGCCCTTCACTTAACGGTCAAATGTTAACGGTGTTAGCGAAAAAGACCATTTGTTAAAAGTTTTGAAACCACATGGACCATCTGTGAGGTTTTTTGAACTTAAGGACTAAACTTGATATTTTCGAAAACCACAGGGACCATTTTTGAAGTTTTGTCATATATATATATATATATATATATATATATATATATATATATATATATATATATATATATATATATATATATATATATATATAACCATTAAAACAATATCATTTTGATATAAAAACAAGAAGTTTCTTTTTATTCATTTGTTGCGTCTAAATTCATTTTTTCTAGTTTCCTAATGTAACCATGTCATATTTAGATTGTATGTTTTTTTATTAAACCTTCAGTATTTATATCATATTATCATGTGTGATATTTTAAGTAAGTCTGCATAAAGGTTTAATGGTTTTATTTTAATGATAAATCGTGAATAAGGTAGTTGTTTCTTTTAGTCCATCAATGTTTATTCTTTATGTTAGTTGTCAATGATTCAATTTGGTTCGTTCTTAATTTTATTTGAAAAACTAAGCGAATGCCCGCGCGTTGCGCAAAAACACATATATAGTTGAAATTTGATATCATAATTTGTATACTAAATTGATATAATATATTGATTATTTTGAGTTATATGATAATATATAGATCTATTATAACTTAATAATCTCAATTTTTTAAATGATTTCTACCTGTGAATTACACATGAATAAAATTAAATATAATATATAGTTTAATGTTATTTATAGTTGCTATTATTGTTAATTTTTTTTTAAAATTTATTTGCTTAATGTTTTAATTTCAATCATTATAATTATTTACAACATCAAACATTATTTTTTGATTTTAAATGTAACAATATAATCATTTATATAGAATTATTGTTAACTATTGTTATTGAAAGTTCTTTTAAGCTACTTATTTGGAAACTTTCAACGATTATAAAAAAAATCTTTAGGAAATATTTTAGTTAAATTGAGGTTGCAATTTAGTTTTTGCATTTATCACTACAGTTTATCACTTTTAATTATTTACAAAATATTCTTTGGTTTTTTAAGTGGAACTGAAATTTATATTTAAGTTGACATTTTATAGCGCAGAAACACCTATATAGTTGAAGTCTTTACAAATATATGTTTTTTTTTTAAATATAACAATAACGTTGTTAAATTTGATATAATAATTCGTATATTAAATTGATATAATATATTGATTATATATATATATATATATATATATATATATATATATATATATATATATAATATAATATAATATAATATAATATAACATAATTAAATATAATATATGTTAATTAATTCATAATCTATTATTAATTCATAATCTCAATCGTTTGAATAACTTTTACCCGCGAGTTACAAATGAATACAATTAAATATAATATATGATTTAATGTTATTTATAGTTGTTGTTATTATTAATTAATTTTTAAAATTTATTTGCTTAATGTTTTAATTTCTATTATTATAATTATTTAGAAAAATTAAACATTATTTTTTGATTTTAAAGGTAACAATATAATCATTTATATAGAGTTATTTTTAACTATTGTTATTGTAACATCCCTGAATATCAAGAGTAGAGTTGAAGGGCTAAAGTGAAAATGTATAAGGGAAACTCGGCGAGTCTATGGGTGGACTCGGCGAGTAGAGTCGCGACTCCGGTTGCGTGTTAAGTGACCAACTAGGCGAGTCGGCGGCTGGACTCGACGAGTTGGTGCTGGGTGAAGAAAACCCTAATCTTCGGGGTTTGCCCCTATTTATAGGATGTTATGCCTTCTCTTCAGCCTCTATGTACCCTGAGAGTTCCAGAGAAAACCCTTATCGTGAGAAATTCCATTATTGAGAGGATTGAAACTTGGAAGAAGGGATTTGTGAAGAGAAGTTAGAGGAATTCGAGGATAACATTAAGAGGGCTTGTGGATCTGAAGTCTTCATCAGTTTAGGCTCATCTTTGGGGTAAGAATCCTCTGTCTTGAACCCCCTTTTTCCCTTATTGTCATCCATGGTGGTTGTTTTGGGGTTTTTGGAGGATTTCATGAGTCATTTCGGGATTAGAAGATGGATTTGAGGATGCTACCTCAGATCTGGAGTAGTGATGATCTAAAATTGCATAAAGTCCCTGTTGTTAAGTGATTAGTGAAGCTATCTTGTCCCAAACCCTAGCCCTAGAGTGTAAAATGCCTAGATCTCTTTGGATTCACGTAAAGTTTGCCACTTTACGTGATGGATGGGTTGTATAAGGGTAGATCTATGTTTTGGATCATCTGCATGGCCTGGAAAGCTTCTGCATGGGTTAAGATCTAGAGGCACTCGGCGAGTCACAAAGGTGTAATCGGCGAGTTGCTTGAAGATGGACTGGAACTCGATGAGTTGGAAGAACAACTCGGCGAGTAGGTTGAAGATGGCCTTGGACTCGGCGAGTCTGGTCATGAGGTCCAAACTTCTTCTGGTGAAGCCATGAATCAGTGAGTCAAGGGAGGACTCGGTGAGTGCGAGGGGACTCAGAGTTGTGAGACTCGGCGAGTCTCGGGGTGACTCGGCGAGTTGAGTCGTGGATTAGGGAAGTTCTAAGCATGGGGACTCGACGAGTCATTAGGTTGACTCGGCGAGTAGAGTGAGTCAGGAGGATGAGTTTGACTTTGACTTTGACCAAGGGTTTACCATGACTTCCAGGGGCATTTTGGTAATTATTGGCTTTTGTTTTGAGTTCAGTGTTGGTGTTAGCCAGTGGTGGAGATCGTGTCAGTGGTCGGAGCATCTCGGTCTTATCTTTCCAGTCAGCAGTTGCAAGGTGAGTTATCCTCACTATATCAACAGGGTCTAAGGCACCAAGGCCGACCCTTTATCGGATTGTAATCCGGGTATTGTTGTTATGTTGTTGTTTTACTATGTTTGCATCCTGGTAGTTAGGATGGTATTCGTTAGAGACCTGGTTAAGGTTGGTATCCTGGTATATAGGGAGATGCTATGCTAGTGACCGGTTAGGTCGATATCATGCTTAGAGTATGTTGTGTTACGTGATTTGCTAGATCGGTTTGATTTAATGTGAATTGTTATATGGTTGTATGTTTATGTGCACATGGTTGTTTGACAGGGGTTGGGTTGAGGCGGGACCTGCTTTGTGCTGTAGGCCAACGTACCCAGGGCAGACTGGTTATTCCGAAGGCCCAGCGAGCGATCCGGATAGGCTGTAGGCCCTACGAGGGTGGACCAGACGTGCTGAGGCTCGGAGAGTGGACCAGGCCGACTGAAGGCCCGATGCGGGCGGACCAGTCATACTGTAGACTTAGAGAGTGGACCAGGTGGGTTGAAGGCCCGGTGCGGGCAGACCAACCACACTGCAGACTCGAGGGACCTGACTGGACTCGGAGGGTGGACTAGGTGGACTGAAGGCCCGACACGGCGGACCAGTCACACAGTAGACCCGATATGCATGGTTGTTCTGTGATTCGATATGATATAGCATGTTATGTGTATGGTATATGTGGTTGGTATTTTGGGGGTATCTCACTAAGCTTTCGGGCTTACAATTGTGGTTTAATGTTTTTCAGGTTCTTCAGGAGACCGTGGCAAGGCAAAGGCATGATCGTACCGCTCCTCGAGTTTGTGTTTTATGATATGGTTCTGGGAATACTCTGATAATAAATGTATTGAAAACCTTTTTTGTAATAACATTATTAAAATGGGTTGTTTTTGAAAAGTTTAAATTTTGTTGAAATTTTTGGTCGTTACAGTTATTGTAAGTTATTTTAAGCTACTTATTTGAAAACTTTTAATGATTATAAAAATATCTTTAGGAAATATTTTAGATAAATTAAGATTACAATTTAGTTTTTGTATTTATCACTACAATTTATTACTTTTAACTATTTACAAAATATTCTTTGGTTTTTTAAATGAAACTGAAATTTATATTTAAGTAGACATTATAATGTTATATTTAAGTTAACAATTTAAGTATTTTGTCAAAGCTGTTCAAAAGTTGTAGCTTTAAATTGATAATGGTTTACATATAACAACATATTAATTCTAATAAATTAAGTATAATATGTTAAAATTTAAAGACATAAATTTATACGTAGAAAGAAATATATTATTTAAAATTGAAATTTAGTTTATTTATGATGACACTTTAGGTTTGATATTTATTTAACTTTATTAACCAACTCATAATAATTATTAGAAGGCACTGCAATTTATCACTTTTAACTATTTACAAAATATTCTTTGGGTTGTTTAAGTTAAACTAAAATTTCTATTTAAGTTTACACTGTACTGTTATATATTTCAATTAATAATTTAAGTATTTTATACAAATTCTTCCAAAATTATATCTTTAAAATGATAACGACTTACATCCAATAATATACTAAAACTAATAAATTAAGTATTATATGTTAAAAGTTAAAAAACATAACTTTATAATTAGAAGTAAAGATATTATTTTAATATTGAAATTTAGTTTATGTATGATTATACTTTAGATTTCATATTTATTTAACTTAATTAACCAAATTATAATTATTATCAGAAAGAAATTGAAAAGTCATGGGAGTTTCAAATTAATGTGGTGAAAGGAAAAATGTGTGAGAGTTTCAAATGAATATGGTGAAAGGAAAAATGCTAGCTTTATAAGTATATAATGATCGTATTCTAATGGATCCAACTTAAATGAGCGTAAACAGCCCAAACCGTGAAACCAAACCGAAGCCAAACCGTTAGTAACAGTTTGGTTTAGTTCAGTTTTAATTTTCAGTGGTTTGGCTTTGGTTTTCGATTGAAAAAAACCGTTACTAACGGTTTTGCTTTGGTTTGAAATAAAA